GGGGCGGCATGCGTGCAGTGTTGGCGTAGGCCTTACACAGCTTGCTGCTTGTGGGGCATCTGCATGCCGGGACACTTTATCATAAGAATTGATAGCACACCGTTTATTAGCTCATACATATCATTTTCATTCAGCAGTTTGTTGTGTCCTGAGATTATGAACCCTGACCGGTTGTTATTATTGTTTTGAACTCTATTTATTGCTGTTATTATTGTTTGAACCCTGACCGGTTGTTATTATTGTTTTTATTATAGTTTTGATTAACAATATTTTTCGTTGTAATTTTTTATAAAGTGGAGGCATAAGGCAATAATGGAATAGTAGTAATACATTCATATCGGAGGTAATTTTCAGAACATTTCTAGACAACGCAATTTCGATGCAAATGATGCAACAATTCCATTGCAAGTTACAAATTAAGTGCCTTCTTTTTTTCCTACACGCCTGTTTCAATTCCTCCATTCCTTTGCCAACAAGTATTTAATGAACTATTTCAACGGAATTATTCTCTTGACTTTTGATAATTCTTCATAATGAAAAAGGGGATTTAGAATTAAACTCATTGAAAATGAGTGACCTTTCTCTGGTTTCAAATTGAGCGTTATTTTCGAGGATTAACAAGCATTTGCATGCTTTTTCAAGATATGATTCATCTAATTCAATTTTTTCTTACTCCTAGCATTATACCATAAATTTAATTTAAATTTATTGATTCAAAATTTGTTTATAAAAGACTTATTTCTTTTGGCCCGAATGCAGCAAGGTGGAAATACTAAGACAAAATATAGCTCAGTACTCACTGCAGTGAGTGACAGAGCGCGCATTTTCTCGTCGACGAAAACATGAAGTCACGGACGGACAGACAGACGGACAGACGGGCAGACGGACGGACAGACGGATGGACAGACGGACGGACAGACGGACATGGCGAGGACAATAGTGCATTTTTTTCATAAATGAGAAAATGCGCTAAAAGTAGCCTAACTGCCTTCGGTGCCGCACTTTTTTGCTCCACAGCTCAACTTTAGTTGGTAGAAGTCCTGTTCTTCAAGGTCTGCTCGAACATATCGAAAAATTGCACAAAAACTTCATCTTCGCTAATTATTTCTGTTACTAAAAAGTTAATTGACGTCGAATGATGAAAAAGTCATTGGTTAAAATCAATGTTAATCGAATAATAACTCTGGCTGTCATTTGCGCTTATATATAGAAGGACGAAAAGAAGAAAAGATGAAAGGCATGGAACATAAAGCTTGTTCCATATATAAATAAAATGGGGCACAGGTAAGAGAAATCGCATCATGTACGCGAAGAACACAGTTTAAATGCATATAGAAAATAATAAAAGTTGAGTTTTTCATGTTGATAAGTGATGATTTGTGATTTATAAATAGATATACTGCATGTTTAAAAGGAATTAAAGTATTTTCGACCATTCATGTAATGAAGAATATCGTTAAATTCGCTTCTATTACTTTCTAGTATGGCTTATTATTTCACAACTTTTTACTGACTAACAATGAAGAACCTAATAACGAGTGAATGAACATTGAGGATTTAGTGGAAGGCCCAACATTTTTTTTCAAATTTTGAATTGCTATACAGGAACTACCATTATACTAGATAAGTTATCACACTTCGCAATTCGGTGTTCGCAACAAGTTGAACTTTTCTGCTTGATCTGACTCCAAAAGATCGCAATATAATAATTAGTCGTCGACAATGAAACAAAACTGATTTACACTAATTATTTTTTTTATATCACTCAAATCTTCAAATCTTCCACAAGTTGATAATCGAATTATTTATCGTCGTTTTCAATGTTAAATTTTGCCATCGTGAAAATTTATTTCGATTCGAAAGAAGAGCTAATGGCTGGTAATCTGGCTACGAAATCGCGTTGCACTCGAAAATGTATAGAGCTCACAAATAAATTCATGAACTACCGAAATATTTGACATAAAACAAGAACTTATAAACTCCAAAATTACGAACCAATGAAATCTGACAATTTCTCTCTCCTCGCACGAATGCGTGTTAGTAGCGACGCTGCATGATACAGAGCTGAGGAAGCCAATCCAATGCTGCTGCGACAGTTCATGTGCTGAGTGCATGGACTTCTATTGTCGCGCACAGTGACAAGGAAAATATGACTTTTGTCAAAGAAAGAGAATCTGAAGAAAATTTTGCCGTTTAAATTTGACTCGTCGAATGGAAAACATGCGTGCAATACAGTCGAATTTTCAAAATGGATGCCTAAGAATACGGAAATTCTCAATGTTCGTAGGCTGTAAGCAACTGAATTGAAAATATTGCGTTGAAACACTGAAATAGACTAGTGGTATATCACCACAAAATACTTACTTTTTCTTCGATTAACTAGAAGTGTAAAAAATAACCATATTTAGGTAGAAAATATTTTCTAGTTCAGCTTCATTATCAGTTCGAAAATTCTATCTCCTGTAGATGACATAAATTGGTTGGAAACATTTTTTAAATGAAGGTGATATGAATTTTCGAAGCATTTTCAATGAACGCACATTACAGATTAACGCGTGATCTTAATATTTGTACTGATTGAATAATTTTTGGTACGAATAACATTGATCTATATTAAGTTATGGGAGGAAATAATTTTGGTACTGCAAATCCCCATTTCATTTCATTACGAATAGTCACGAAAATCGTGCTCCCATCACCAACTCAGTAGTCAATCTATAGGCAAATCAGCACGTTTTAATATTAAGCCTTGTCGCACAGTGTATTTAAGTTTTGCTGCTGTTCCTTGATTTGCATTTAAGTTGCAATTAAACTGCGAGCCTGCAGTGTGTCTGAGCCTGTATATGTGATCGCACTAGCTTATTATCGGGAGCAGGTCTTGCAAAACCCGCCGCCAGATAACGACTGCGTCTCGACTTAGGCAGTGAACTAATGTTAAACGAAGCCTGTGCGTTAGAAATGCAGAGCTGAGCTTCTCGAGTAGCGAACAAAGTTGCCAAAAACATAAAAATTTCTCGAGTTTTGCCCCAGTGGCATTTGAAGTTCAAATGAGAACTTCGCATCCAGTTGGTCTGTCGAGTGCAGAGAGGTCCCCGTGAAAGATTGATAATATGTGGAGAAAATTTAATAGGGTCATGTCTAAATACTTGAATGTATTTAAGGTGTATCGGTATAATAGTTTATTCCAGATTTAAGGATATTCATGGGAAACCTGGGTAAATATAATTTGATGTGCCTTGCGTACCGTCGTTAAAATTCAAAAATTTTCCGGCTTTTGCTATGTTAGCTGCTGAAAAATATGAGATAAATATTTTCCTCTTCTGCTGTCGAGTTTGAAGGCCAGGAATCTGCCACAGATCTAGAAGCTCTCAGCACTACACACGCCAGCTGAGCCAATTGCATACATAACTGGAGTGCAGGTCGTGCGTCGCAGCCCTCGGCGCAACATTTGTCACCGTTTCAAACAAGTTCTATCTGCAAAATATCCCTCAGGCCAAGGGATATGCGTGTGCTCTCTCAAGATTTATTGCTCATACGCTGAGAAATATATGAACAAAAACAATTGTCACTTGCAGGAAGAGAGACAGAATTCCCGAGTTGCTGGCTGGCGAAGTCTGTCTGAAACTGCTTGATGCAAAAATGGCAAACGAAATGGCCATCTATTTGAAAAATTAGGGACATGAATCTACATCGAATAATCAAAGACAATTTTAGACATAATCATGATATTTTTCATTGATACTAGTTGGTAGTTTCGTCGTAATGTTCAGAAATAAACGGGAATTTCTACATATTACTGAATTTACAACATATTTCGAGTTTAATGAAGTCCTATCAATTCTTACACCTTCGGTCAGTTAAAACAGTTCCAGCAGCGATAATAAATTAAATTTTAAGTGCGGTTCAACAACAAATCTATTAAGCAAAGATTGGGTCATTCCATCCTCATTCTGCGTCATTGCGTTGCGCCCTCAGCACACGAATTGAAAATCAAGCGTTTCTGTTCCAACTTTGAAAATAATGAATTTGAATTGCTGGAACTGCTCGTATCAGGTGCATGAATAGTTCATGCCCGCACTTCTAGCGCTGCCTTCATAAATTCAACGGAGTTGGGGTTAGACAGGATTTGGAGCCATTTGAGCAATGGACACCACTTCCATCTTTGACAGAATGCGCCGCTGCTGCATGAGTAAGTCCACAAGTCAGAGGTGACATGTCGCTCCACTTAAGCCAGGCTCCAAGTCTCACATTCCTCGTCCTCATCCGCCTGATGAAGTATGCAGTCAGGTTCCGTGCAGGAGGTCACACAAAATACGAATCGCAGGCTGGCTCAGCAAAGTTGCCCCCTTCGTCGCCTCCTAATCCTTGAGAACGCAAATGACAAGCCTTGTCATTTCCTTTCACCGTGACTTCGAGAGGATAAGGTTTACTCGCATTACAGTCAGCAGACGCCTAATTTACCTTGCGGTATTGAAGATTTATAATTTTCCTGTGGTTGAAAATGGTTCACTTAGATTTGAAAATTTGTCTACCGCATCACGATTCTAAAAATTTGAAAATTTATTTTGAGCACTTAGCTGTCCATGGCAATTTCAAATGCATCGGTGCATGAAAAATTGTGATGCATTGGGGAGTTACATATATAATGCACTACGTTTTAATTGTGTTCCATAAATGAAGATTTACCTGCTTTGAAAGTAAAACATGCACAGTCGTGTAAATTTTGGTACGTTGGGATGTTACTGTAACTGAATTAACGCTTCGATATTACCTTTTCACCTTAAAATAATTATTTTATTATAGATAACAATTTTGAGAGACTCGGCATTTGCAGAGAAAATAAGAGTGAAGCCAGAGTCAATCAAATGTAAGTCAGGTGCCGGCTCATGGACTTATCAGCGTCCATATCATCCCTTGACCTGAGGCGCTCGGCGACCCTGCAATAGCATCCCAGGTTATGGAGATCAAGACTGGGATGGTCAGCTCAGTCGTAAGGCAGAGGCTGCGGAGGCTGGTTGTGTGTTCGTGTCGCCTCTGAAGTGACCACTCTAACCCCCGGTGTCGCGCGGTGTGATTGATGCTCGTGTTTAGACTAATTTAAGAATATTCCTAACTTATCATTGGATATGCGATGTAACAAATGTTAAGTGATATCAGCGCTGCAGAGTATGCTAGTGAGAAAAAGTTTATTTGTTATTTTGTAGTTGATTTCGCTATCAGATCGAAGTGAAATTAATTGATTGTAGCATCCATAAAGCAGACTGGCGGCGAAATGTTAGATGCGCGTGCTATAACAGTGGTGCTAAGCGTCGCATTTGTGGCGGTAATCTGGGCTAACTTGGCCGTCCTGGTGCACGGCAATCGGGCTTTGGAAGAGTATTCGAGCAGCCCTGAAGGATTGGAGAACAGTGAGTTATGTCAATATTTGCCCTCTAATGGACCTTAACTCGCAAGCTTCTTGCTCGGTTCACCTGCTTTTGGGAACTTCAAATACGAATTAGAGTTTCCTATCCCTTTCTTTTGATCAATGTTTATTTAAGCATGGAACTTGCAAGGTAGAGATCTAGGGTGTATAGATGAAGATCGGTAATGTAAAATATTGGATTAGAATATTTATTGCTACCCTGATGTGTCTTATGACTCCAAACTTTATTAATTTTCTGACTGTATTTGTGTTCTAGATTTATCGAACTGACGATGGAGCTGGTCTCCGAAACGTTTTCAATAGAGAAATACTGAATTTTTGTGGAGTTTTCTTCGCTTTTAAATTTCTATTTATTGCTACGTGTTGTGAGGAGCTTTACTTACAAAACAACTATTATCATTTTTTATTGAAAATTACCATACTGAGCACCTGGTGGAATTGCGGCTGACAATAAATCCAGAATTCCACCCTGTAAATAATAAAATAAAATAAAATCTGGATTAAAGTAGATCTATTCTTCGTCTGTAGCTTCTCGAGTAGCGAAATGATATAAGCTAGAGCTAAAAAACATTTTCACTATCTTGTTTTCATTTTTACATCGACTGAATCCAATTTTCTTTTTTAAAATGCAGGAACCCCGTTATTTCATGAGCATGAGTTGCTAGCCTTCTGAACTTAATGCTTCAAAGTGTCGAAAAGTTCTTAGTCGCCACCCAAATTAGGCGTGGTTAAAAGAGAGAATGTTCGTATAATAATGAATTTTCGTATACTATTGCAACCTGTCAAACTTCGTTTGGACAGGTTGCATCATTTGCCTTCCCGCCAAAGAACGTTGGCTTTAGTTTAGCTCTAAGAAGAATCTACCCAATCGGCCATCTTCAGTTTCGCGATGCTTGACAATATTTTTCGCTAAATACCTATAATACTTAAAATTCTCTGTATTTTTTTTTAACGCAGCGAGATTTGCGTAATAGGAATGCCTGCTTTAGGCTCGTCAGGATTTCTATTGGAATGCGCTTCGGAGCGTGGTTCAAGTTTTCCCATTTATGTTTTAGAAACATGCGGTGACACAGCAGCATTCAGTGCCCGGTAACAAATTATAAAAGTTGTAGTGGTCAACCAAAGGTTGTTAGCTTCACTTTTCCTGCGAAGAGCACTCCATCCTAAAAAATGTGTTCCGTAACTTTTAATTAGATAAATAATAACTTTGGCTAGTAGTGATTTGGCTTTTGATTACGGCGTAGCTGAGACCAACATCATTCTTCAAGCTGCATCGAGTTTTTACGGATGATCCAACCTGCTGACGCGATACAATCTAGATCCAATTTTTTATTCTGGTCGAATTACTGGGTCTCAGTAGGAAATTTTCTTATACAAATTACGTCTTGGCACAAAAATATTTCACAACAGCTCAGCCTGTTGTAAAAGAATGTGAAAAGTGAGCGGTTCTTTTTAAACTGAAGCTTCTTGCTCGGAATATTCTTCAATTTAAATCTGATGAGAAGATTAAGCCGCCCAAGGGCGTCAAATTGCAATGCTTGCTGTTGTGCACGAGAAATTCTGGATAACTTATGAGATGAAACATTTTCTGCATAAATGTGACACTGTGATATATTTTATTACTGTGCGTACGTTGTTAAGGCTATCGGGCACTTTTTCTCATGTCACAAAGTTAGGGAAATGTTATTAAATTTCCTTGACAAACTTCGCTCAGAATCCAAATTTCCAGTTATTAGTTTAACAGAATTTATCCACGACTATTATGTACTTCACTTTTTAGAATATTTCAATAAAAATCGAAGTTCAGTAAAGAGTCCTACAGATAAAAAATCAATAAGGTTAAAGATAATTCTTGTCCTTGAACAAATTTTCCTCGTTTACGCGAAACGAGTCTAAGCGGTCAAAACGTGATATATAATTTTAAATAGAACTCTGCATAAAAAATGCGAAATAATTTTTTATTTTCGTTAGTGGATGTTCCTCAAGTGAGTGGAAGGTGAACTTATATCATTAGTCGACTTTAATAGCTAATTTCCTGAAAAATGTTAAAAGAAAAAATATGCCACGTGAAAATGATATGATCTATTTGCTTTGCGTTTTCTTTGCTTCTAAATTTTGCAGCTAAACTCGATCAGGATCAAAACCGGGTACAATTTCTTGAGCGCATCTTTAATACAAAGCTTGGGAGAGAAAAGTTTCGCAGAACACAGGAGTGTAATTTGATAAGAAATTCTGTGTGCAATTTATGCACTAAGCAGCAACTACTTAACGACTTAGAATTAACATATTCATGAGAGTGAGTTAACCGATCTGATGGCGCGCGCCGATGGACGCCTGCGAGAGCGCACCTCATTGCTGCTCGAGTAGCAGTGATAGCGGCGATACAGAATATACGTTGTTATATACGTTATACGTTGTTTGTATATACGATACAGCATATACGAGTAGCAGTGATGGCGGCGATACAGAATATACGTTGTTAAATACGTTATACGTTGTTTGTATACGATACAGCATATACGAGTAGCAGTGATAGCGGCGATACAGAATAAACGTTTTATATACGTTATACGTTGTTTGTATACGATACAGCATATACGAGTAGTAGTGATGCTACGGACGCCGAACGTACATTGTTTACGGCTGCTATTTCGGTTGCTCCTGTGACTGCTACTTTTAATGGCGCTAATGCTACTGACTGCTGCTGTTTTTTTAAACTCTTTACTACTGCTGTAATTTTACTCTTTATTTAAACTCTCTTGAATGATTACTCATAGCTGGGATTACTGGTGGAGGAGGGGTTACTCATCGCTGATGAGTAACTCCATTGGATAACTCCGCCAAGACTGAAAAAGTAAAAAAATTTAACTCGCAATGTGCCAGGAGCTCAGGAAGATTTTGCAATCACCATTGCTGAGTATGGAAAGTTAAGTGCACGTAGTTATACGAAAATACGTAGAGTGCAGCAAGAAAAATCTTTGGAGGAGCAAGCCTAATTCATTTTGTAATTGCTTAGAATATAACACGGGTGCACTTGATTTAATGTACAAGTTCAGACATATAGCTGTAATTAATCAAGGATAAGCGGCAAACTGCTTAGTAGGATTCGCTTTTTGTTATTTTTGATCTTGATGGACTTCATTCATCATGAAGTGAATTTTCCGACCGATCTAAAACTAGTGAAAATAACCCCTGCCAACAGTTTGATAAAAGAAGCTAAGCCGTGTCATGGCTTCCGTGGTACATCTGAGCGAAATTCAAAGTTTAAAAATGAATTTCCTTACACAAACTTAGACATTTTTTTCCTCAGAAGATTTTTGTTGCGTAAAATTGTTTCAGTTGTAGCAAAGTGTCGAACGGTTTTCACGAATTGCAGTTAGCCTGCAGCGGCGTCGAGAGAGAAGAACGTATCCCTGAATGGCTTTGTTTTCCGTAAAATGTTAGACGGCGTTTAGTTTCTATGCCTCTGGCATTTAGGCACGGCCCTTGATAAAAGCGTTTTTAACGAACATAAAACCTTTACGATTAAAGGTACAGGCCCACTGTTTTAGTCGCCTAAGTCCCTTTAAACTTCAGATAAAAACTCTGGAATACATTTTATGAAGACCCCGAAAGGCGCGAAAATATTTCTCTAACTCACGGAGTTTCAGATAATCTTCTCGTTTCTTTTGGAATTAATTTCAAGTTAATGACTACATTTGAAGTTTTATCTTTAACCGGAATACTCGACGGCTTGTCATTTAATTTTTAGCTTTCACAAGGAATTTAAAAGCAAAGAAAACGCCAAGAAAATTCACCATATCGATATTGAAAACGTTTCGGAGTCCAGCTCCATCATCAGTTCGACTAAACTAAAAATGAATAAAAATCACTTTAAAAGTCAAAATTCAAAGACAGACATAAAACCTAAACAAGTCTTGTTTAGGTTTTATGTCTGTCTTTGAATTTTGACTTTTAAAGTGATTTTTATTCATTTTTAGTTTAGTCGAACTGATGATGGAGCTGGACTCCGAAACGTTTTCAATATCGATATGGTGAATTTTCTTGGCGTTTTCTTTGCTTTTAAATTCCTTGTGAACTTGCGATATAAGCAGACTAATGATATAAGTAGCTTTCACAATTGTTAGACGCTAACTTTCAGATTTTTATATTAGAATCATTGTCAAAAAAACCGGCCTACCGAATAATTTACGAGGAATTTTGTATTCCGAACGAAATTTAGCGTTAAAAATGCTGACGCCGGCCGTTTTTGGCCCATTTTACTGCCCCTGCCTTTGTGTGCAAGCGCAATGCAAAGGAAGCTCCCACCATTGAGCAGCAGGCGGTTTAAACTTTTACTGGGCAAATAAATTCAATTGAAAGTCTTACTTAACTTCTTTTTAATTTCAGTAGTGTAACTTTTTTCTAACTAGCACACTACATTTTTGAAAATTTATCTCTCATGAATAACTTGGAGTGCGTATTTAATCTTCTGATGCCAACAACTTTAACTTGATATGGCATTTGTTGCTTTCCAGTAACTCGGATTATTTTACTCTCTCTGAAGTTGTTTGACGAATATTAAAATTACAAATCCACTTTACGTATTTAGTGGGAAAATAAAATATTTAAAATTTTATTCACGTTCAAGACGCAGGAGTTTGCCAGTCAGCCACGTCGACAGACTCGATGAATTCATTGCACAAGAAGCACGAAACTCGACCCACACTTCGGTATTCATAGTCTGGCTTACCGCGCTCTATGTATATTGCCTGTATACCCTATATAAGACTCCGTTAGCTCGAATGCCATGTTGTGGTCCGCTCGTACCTTCGTCAGTTTCACGCTTCGGCTGAAGAGCACAAGATGAGGATTCGAGAAGGCCTGAAGTATCTTGAGTTTCATTCGTACCTGGATCTAATTTTGATGAACATCTGGAAAACCTTTGCCATTTTGTTTTAATTGATTCTAAGTTAAGCTACTTTTTATACAAATTATTCATTATGATATTGCTGATTTGATGAGGCCCTTTGATGAAGAAGAGTAAAAACACCATTTTTATTTCGTTCCCAACTATTTGGTATCTACGAGATACATGTAGAAATTCTGAAATTCTTGTTTTTACCATTACATGATTATAAAATTACCATAAATATGCCCATATAGGCAATGCATTTAGGCTCTTGAGGTCTGATTCAGTCATCACCTGAGATTCGATCCCTTATGGACTTTCGATTACCGCAGACTGACATTTGCTCATCTTGTTGCATTGAACACAGCTATGCAAAAATAATTTAAAGCTTTTATATTCTCGTCAACTTCAACGGATAAATAATATGCATCGGCGGTTTATTTAAAAAAGAATTTTAAAAATTTTTTTGAAACACAATCTATTCGTCGACAATTCCACACTATATATGACTTAGCTTTTATCTAAAAATTTCTAGATAAATGTTTACGGAGGAAATATGTATAGATGGTACAAGTTTCATGTTGAATATTTGTCTGACACTGGGCTTAATTCACTCTCGGTGTTGGTGGCTTCTCAGAGTCGATCTGAGACCGTCAGTATGTCCTAAACCATTTCTGGAGAACATGAAGAAAGACCCATGGCTGCAGATATAAGGGCTCCGGAGCAGCCAGCCCTTCCATGTAGGCGAATTGAAAGAGATAAACCTTTCACGTAGGCTCCATTAGAGCCAGGATGAGACTCGTCTTCCAGTGCTCAGCTTGGATGTTGGCTTGCAAACGAGATCAGCAGGAGCCTTGCCTGATCCTCCGCTGGCGCAACAAAGAAATATTAGTTTCTCGGACCTCAGCGTGAAATGATGAAAATTATGTAATAAATCACTAATAAATTTTCGCCAGGCTTCATTTATAGTCGGGCAATATCAATGTTATCTTACATTTTCCCAATAATTTAATCACAGAAGTAAAGAAACGCAGTCTATAAAACTGCGATTTATTTCGGCTATCGACCAATGAGCGGTTGCTTCTTAGAGCATCAGAATTTGACTATCGATGTAAAGTTTATTTATTGTAATAAATAAAATTATCGGTGAACGATGTACTATCGATGTAAATTTATATTATTGTAATATGTAATTTATTTGACTATCGATCAACAATATTGTTCCCGAATTGCTATTTTTGGATGTACAATCTTGACGAAAAATATGACACGTTGCGTGTGCAATAAATCAAAACTTTTCACCGCAAAGGGTAAGATGATCATTAAGGACCTTACAAGTTTTGAGTACTAGCTGCCAGACAATCACAACTTGCCAAGTGCTGATGATGTTTTTTCAGCTTAAGGGAATACTTTTCCGCTCATCTGGAGTGCGTCGAGAGTCTGAAGTTAGGCAACAATATTCGGCGAAGATTGGACAACGTTAATTTCAATGTTTATACCTAATGTGTAATGTAATGTGTTACATTTTTACATGTAATAGTTGTTCACTGTGCCGATAATCAGTTTACGTTGTACATCGCACTCGAACGAATATTCTAGAGGTTAACGAGCGCGCTAGTTTTTAGCTTAAATCAGCAACTGTCTCAATAGATAAAAAAACTTTTTAACGGCATTTCGAAAATCATAGAAAATTTTATTGATTTAAATGCTGTATTAAACTAGCATGAAGTTGTGATTTGAAAAGAAAAAAGTTTTTCGAAAATATTTTGCGACTATTCTAAGCTTTGACTATTCTCTTTAAAATTCGGATCCAGATTTTTTTTTGTAAATAACGCTTGAATTCTGTGGCGTCGAGATATTTGGCGATGCAACGAACAAACTTCAGGCGAGAAGTTGTTAAGTGCATAAAGTTGAATATCAATTCACAGTCAAATTGAGGTTTTCCTTAAGTAAGGATAAACACTTTTGCTATGGGTTGATCTTAACGTCGGAACTTGGAGAAGGTCTCAACACTTACCCTGAACTTCTAGCGCGATATCTCTTGGGGAAGGGGACGTGAAGGCGCTTCTAAAAGTCTCGTATAAAAGAGATGATATTCGCTGTGGAACTCTCGGCCTTCACCGTCTTTTAAATGGAATGAGATGCCCCTCCATGATTTTTACCTTGAAAATTAATTACTTTGATGCAGACAAAAAGTCTTAAGGCATCAAGACTGGAACAAATAAAAACTGACGCGGCGGCAAATGTAAAACTCTTCTGGTCAAAATTTTCAATTCACCGGCCGTATTCTATGCGAAAGATACGAATCGAGTTCAAAAGTTTCCCCCTGAACCAAGCGTACCGAAAGTTCGCCTATCTAAACTTTTTTAAACGAGTCGGGTTGAAAAAATACCGTGAGATTTCTCATTGAATTTCTGCGCCGTTTCCTTTATCAAGTTCTTTGGTTCATTCGGTGAATAGAAATCTCAAGATGTTTTAAAATAATTGAAATTAGTTGAGTCAAGAAAGTTATGCTATTGGCGAATCCACATCTTTTCACTGCTTAGCTTGTCAAATCGTATTAGAAATGTTCACTTCGCTCATCAATAACGTCAATACTGTACTACTGCTGCTGCATCACATAACATGCTATTTCATAGCACATTTTGGATAAGTTTCGATCTCAAGGGACTAAGGTAGAATTGAGTGCACCCAAACTCGATGATACATGCAACGTTGATTGAATTTCGTCTGTGCCTTTTTACTTCTTCTTCCGAAGTTCTGAAGAGCATGAGCCCTGAAACTTTAATCATGCCCTTTGATCTTCGTATGCAAATTTTCAGACTCTTGACTGTTATCACTTTGAAGTTATTGAGCTCGTTCACACCATCTTGCGTACTGTGCATGTGAACATGAAAATAGGCTTGAATTGATTTATTTTCGAGATAAAAAAAGTTAAGAAAAATTCACCTGCTTCGTCCAAATTTATGTTACTAAGCATATATAAAATTGTGAACACGATCACTATTATAATGTTCAAAATTATGCCTCCGATCCCGTTATTCAATCCAGGATAGATATCTCTGAACGAATAGCTCTACTTTCTGCCACGTTATCACGGCATGCAAGTATATAATTATTAGTCTATGTATTTTCATTTCTATTAAAATACATTTGGAAGTTGAGAAGTTCTGCCAAATAACCACGATATGACCAAAGAAAATTCTTCATGTACTCTATTGTCTTGTTAACAATTTGGTCTACACCCTAACAAAATTTAGAGTCGCCCCAGCTTCTGGTAATCCAAATCAGAAGCTGCCGCGTCTGTAAATTTCAATGGGCAATTATTCCTCCCATATGCGGGCTTGCCTGCAATTCTTTACTACATGTAATTCAATAGGTTTTCTATTGCTGTCCCACAGGTCCCGTTACCGCCGTGCAGGCTGTGGTGGGGGAGTCTGTTCTACTGCCGTGCGACGTGACACCGCCCACACCTTCTGATGCCCCGATGCTTGTGCTATTTTTCTTCAAGACCAAAGGAACGCCGATCTATAGGTATGATACTTGTCTTAATTAGTATGATAATGATCACAATTACATAAATGTGGTATATTTAATTCACATACTCTGTATATTTCTGTATATATTTGGCTTTTTAAATTTGTTCCATATTTTGATATGTCATCTATGAGTGGTTGTAGTGGTCAAATGTATGGTCAAATCCTACTTAATAACTACTGTTGTGCAGTGATGATTGACATCTCATAGTAAGTAATAATTTTGTTCATCTGAAATATATGTATGATCAGAGCCTGGATTGAGAGAAAGCCAACCATAACTTGAAATAGGGCAACAGGAAAGAACTTTATCAGAAACCTCTCACTGAATTTTTTGAGCCACTTAAAGGAAATTAATTAGTTGATTTGTTATTGGGTCTATTAATGCTATTCGTATTGAAAAATTATAGTCTTCGTAAAAAATTCCGATTATTTATTTAAAATTACTATAAAACTTGTAATGAATGTGCTGTGTTATTGCCGACGCATCAGGAGTAATAAATTTCTAACGTGGCTGAATCTATTGACTTCATTAAAAAGATAGTTTCTCTTTATACTCTGATATAAAATTATTTCTGACGTCCGGCAGTAGCATTCGCTTAAAATTTGCCACTTGCAGCATTGCTTGCTATTATTGTAATGTATTTAACCTAATCACTCGCTTCGTAATATGTGCAGAAGTATAATAGTCTGTTAGAATGTATTCCAGAACAATAATCAAAATAACAAGCTCCGTTTCTGTTATCCAAGATCAAATACTGTTCATCCTTTCCATTAAATTGACCCTATATGAGAACTTTTACGACCGACTACGTACCGCATACAAGCAGATTAAAAGTCTTCGCTTTTTCCTGTTCGCTCAGCGGGAAAAGTTTCTCGGCTGTCCACACATATGCACTCACGTTTTATCTTCGAGAGGAGCTTTTGTTTGCGGCTGTCAATAGCTTCAAAGAAAGTATACGAGACCGGTGAAGTTTTGCACAGACTTCTTGCGATGGCTAGGCTATGCGGAAAACTACGATGCGAACTTTCTGGAATAACAACATCAAATATGATGCACTTATAAAACTTTTTCTTTTCCCTAGGAAAAATATTTTTTGCCCATCTCTGGAAAAGTTCTCATAAGATAAACTATACGTCGTTCGATGTTCGACCAGGAAGAGATCAGACTTAACTTCATTTAGACAGTTAATTTTATTCTACGTCATCTTCCAATAAAGTTCATTCGGGACGTGAAATTTTGTTGTTCGGGGTTTTAGGAAAATGACACTAGATCACTAGCCACCTCACATATTTCAAATCTTGTAGCAAAAGTTCGATTTCAGACTCAAATCTTACGACTTATTGCAAGATATACTGTACCCAAATGAAAATTAAGGGTGGTGCACCGATGATTATAGGTGGCGATAGTAGTTTATAGGTGGCGTAACGGTGAGTGGCCAGATTTGCCAAAAATCGAAAATAAAACATCAATAAATCGAGAGGATGGCGAGTAAAGGTGGCAGTCATCTATGAATCTCTGCTGATTTGTATGGTCTGAATAATCGATAGCACATTGCAGGCAAATCTCTTTTAAGCCACTGAAAACCGTTTGCCTACACAATGCACGAAGGTATTTGCCACAGTAATTTATCCAACATGGAAAGGTGTTATTGGATTGCGGGTCATTCGAGATCTAGACGAAACCACGGCTTCGTTTTGTGTGCTTGGCTTCTAAGAATTAGTTATGTTAAGAAAATTTTGCGTGAATTAGGTAGGCACCAATAAAACTGACAGAGAATCAAGGTGTTCACAAAATTGTTGAGCCAAAGTGGAGCCACTGGGCATGTATCAGACTGTTCCTGATATAAATTGTCCGAGGAACAATGAAAAAATTTGATTGCAATAAATACAGTTTTTCCATACATGACGGCGAATCCAATTTTTCATGTTCACCTGAAATATTGCGTAAATTTATTGTGAATTTTGCGTATGCTTCAACTGGCTGTGTTGGAAATATTGCGATCAATTGAGACTACTTACTCTATTATTAAGTATAAATTGTATGGATCGATTAAGTGTGTTCCATTATATTTACAATATACTCAAGTTGCCCCCATTTATCTAAACTCAAAAGGCACGTTGACGTAGTCAACAGCGGCTCCTCTTCCTTGAAGGTAGAGCACAGCGGCTCGGTATCAAGGGCAGAGAGCGAGTCCACAGTAAGCACACGTTCATACCGGTTGGCTTGACGCGCTTCGACGTTGAGCTTCCTACTAATCTTTACCTAGTCCTGCTTGAAACGTGCTTTCCGGGTAATTTGCTTGTCACAAGAGTATCTTTTTTACGCAGAGGATACGAGTGAAAATTCGGTTATCCATCCTGACTTCGATTGTGAAATTTAATACACAGTCAGATAATTCTTTACATTTTAACTCTAAAAATCTAAGAAAGTGGCCCCGGTATCTTTCATACGCAAAAAGACTTAAGATTAGGCTATAGAACAATGGTGACTAGAAGTGGTTCAGGTATTTCACGTCTGATATTTCAAATAATAGTGTAATATCAATTTCTTACTTCACGTCAGAATATTCTTGGTGAAAATATATCGAATCAAACCGCTGTCAAAAATTGGTGTAATGTTGACATTATGAACTTCGATGCTTATTAAGCATTTTCCCGTAGCCTTTACTCTGAGCTGAACCATCGTTCGTTACGGATAAATGAAATTTCTTTCAGCGCGTGTTTACTCGAATGTAGTAGCATGTTCAAATAAAATTGGTGATGAAACCATCTTATCATCAAGTGTGCTCATTTGATGAAATTAATTTTTGCAATACTTCAGTTAAAGCTTTCAAAATTACTCGACCGTCATGTCCTTTCCGATGACTCAGCGGTAGAGGCTCTGCTTCGCGTGTGGGAGACCGGAGTTCGAATCCTGCAGGCAGGGATTTTCTTCAAGTCGATTTCTCACGAGGTATGTGTATGGTACTCTGATTATATGTTCCTGCTACATGTCTGACATTGTTACTTGTACTGCCATGGTAGATTTGCATACGTAGCACTTAGAATGGTGATTGGGTGAAGCAATATCGGTAAATTCAGAAGCATCGGATTTGAAACTAAAGGAGAATTTTTTATTGAATTCATTTCAAAAGTGGCCACTTGTGGCTCATTGATGCGCCACTGGTGCCAATGGGTAGTTATTGGTGTACGAAGAGCTTTACGGGTGTGGTGGCCATTGGCAGGTGATAGGTGTGGGATAGGTGGTGCACGCCACCCTTAATTCACTGTATAAATCATATAAGCTCCACCTATGGCGTCCGCCGATAGCCACCACAAAAACATAGGTGCTCCACTCTTAATTTTTATTTGGGTATCAGTCTTCTGTTAGCTCGAAATCACTGCACTCAACCACTCGCTTTCAGTTTAATTCATATTTGAATATAATAATTGCAACTCTAGCTTAACCCTCCACCGCCTGACACGAGTAACCGGAGCAATATTGTCACAAGCCTACCTCCCAAATAAGATAAGTTCGAGTGAGCACAAAATGACTTGCACTTGCGTACAAACGTTCTCAGGTTGCTACACTCAATAGTTTACGAATAATTCAAGTTGAAAGTTATGTTCCCGGAGAATTAAATACAGCGGTAGAGGGTTAATTATTCGATTCATTGTTGAATGAATACTGATTTCTTTGATGAGATGCAATCAGGGCAGCTTTTTTCCGGCCAAACTTGTGGGCCCGGAAGAAGTTCGCCGGCGATTAATCTAAGAGCTTAAAGCTATTGTCATGAATTCGCTTAAAAATTTATGATTCTTTCTACCATCGTTATAGCTCTGAAAGATGTATAAGAGGATAATCAATCATTATAGTGCAAATCTCAAATTGTTTGTTCATAAGATGTACATCGGTTATTACATGCATATCATCTTAATTGTTTTTTTTCTGGCCTTTTATTCTTCCACGGTAGCAACTTCTCAATATATTAAAATTAAAAATGTAAACTTATGCTAATAAATAAAATTATTCTATCAAATAAATTTTGCTAAAATTTAATCATTTTAAGCCATCGCAGGAAGTGTGAAAATCTCGTTATGGACTTCGAAGCTTACATGAAACTTATTTAAAAACTGCTTCTAATTTGCTTTCTATAATTATAATACAATTAACTATGGCGTTTGAGGGAGCGTTCATCAATCCTTTCAATATAGCTTTGTCGTGTTCCTGTCACTAGAAAAGCACATGTGCTTAAAAAAATTGACAGTTCTCACGATTATTGAACATCGAGTGGTCGTCTGTATTTAGTTTTTTTACTATGTCCCGTATGATCGACTGCAGTTATTGATACGATATCACTCGAGTGTATGAATTGAACATTACAAAGAAGTCCGCATCTAATCGAATATCGTCTATAAGAAGTCCTCAAGCTGATCTCAAGTGGCCTAGCTGTGGGAAATGCTCGACCTCTGTGATCGTTGCTATCGCGTTGCCTTTAAGTGCCATTCGAGATAATTGCCGTACATGCAACACTACGCAATTAAGTTATTTTTTTCAGACTCATTAGATCCAGTGATGATGCACTTTGCTTCTGTTCGCCATGAGCCTCTGCCAGCTTTCACATATGAGACATCGATCCTTGATTAAAGTTTTTTTGTCCGAGTCAACATAGATTAATTACGACGATGTTTTTTCCGCTGTGAACATTTCGGCGGAATAAGCCATCGGTAGCTTTTTAATATACCAAAATTTCAAGTATTATTTTGTTTCTGTTAGAAAATGAAAAACAGAATTTTTATTGGCTGCAGAAGTAGTTGAGTTTAACGAAAAAGTTGGAAGTTAATGAAAGTTAGGTTTTCGTTCTGAACATCGAGGTATTTTCTAAAAAGCGAAGGAAAACTTAGTTCCAAGAAACAAGACATTCAAGGTCAATTTTAAAGGAATCGCTTTTATTCTTTCCGACACTTGAATTATTTGGGCTGTAAGAATGTTAAGGAAAATTTGAATCAGCTTCTCATAAGCTAGTGATGAAAATTACTTAATTTAATCTTTCTCACAGAATTTAAAAGATTCTGAAATATTCCTTGATGGAGTATGACCTTCCTCCAAATTTTCTTGATCTATCATTGGTTTTTGTTTAGTTGAGAAGCAGGAAGATATCCTCGTATGGAAAGCTCTCAGGCAGCATTCATTAGCGGCTCGATGTTCGCGCAATTTTACTTCTCACTTTCTTCTTGAGATCAAAGTTAAAAAATTCAGTTTATAGATGCTTCTGAATTATTTTTCTCTTGAATTTGGATCATATTGAAATTTTCGACCGTGATCTTTCTGTTTCAGCACCGTTAGAAATATCTCAGTGGCCCAGTAACGCGGTATTTAATCAAGAGTTCTGCCCGAGACTTAAGCTACATTCGCTAGCCATCAGGATTATCCGTCATAAAAGAATTTCTGAAGTATGCTTGAACGTTGCTGTAACGAATGACATGGTCTCACAGTCTTTTGTTTTGAACTCATTTGCAGTGTGGATGCCAGAGAGAGCTCGAACCTTTACTCTGGCAAACACTGGGCAGACTCAGAGCAGTTAGACAGAAGAGCAAATCTACAGGTTCGACGTCCAGGACAACAAGGCCTTTACCTCTCAAGGCTCACTGAAGATGATGCAGGAGAATACCGCTGTCGGGTCGATTTCAAGTCCTCGCCCACTAGAAATGCGAGAATCATCCTCGAAATCATTGGTAAGCTCTCAAAACCATGTTGGACAGAACATTTTATTCATGTTAGCCTGAATTCCTGCTGTGACTTCATGTAGCTGGCATGCCCGTGTTCATCCATTGGAGAAACAATTTTATTTTTTTTTATTCCCGAAGTTTGTTTGCGGGGACATGTGTCTCTTACTGTGCCGTGGGTAGCCAAGCGCGGTCATCCTAAAAACCCCCGAGCAAAAAGGTTAATGAATTCAACTCCCACGCGGCCACCCTAAAATGTTAATGGTCTTCGTTACTCCAGGACTAGGCCTATAAAGCCATCAGTGACCGTAACCTATTGGATTACTTTTCTCAGTGCCGCCTCGGCACATCCTCGTCACCAGCAGCTGGGAGGAAGGCCGCATCGTCTCCGGCAGGATTGGACCTTATCCTGAAGGAGCTGACCTAACTTTAGCCTGCCAGGTCACAGGAGGTTAGTATATTCATTCATACTCTTCTTTTATGTGCGTATGACTAATTGTGCTGCCAAATTCACAAATGAGCTCATTAGCGTAAAATTTACCTAATAATATCACTGTAAATGCATGGATGGCCGGTGTCCGTTATCATATTTAATTTTAGGATTTTTTTTTAGCAAAATGTGTTACCTTTTAAACACTCTTTGGCTACATCTCTTTTGGTAGGATCGGAAACACCCTCACTGTCTCACTGTATTATAATAATATTATACGGAAAGTATTATTATAGGTCCTTCCAGCGAGCCAGAGCCGGTGTTCTGACCGGCCAATTGTTAGTTAATCGTGTGATCAAATTGAATAATAATTAAATACAGATTTTTCTATCATTTTAATTACAGGATCACCAAGACCGAGCGTGACCTGGTGGCAAGGTGCTTCGCTAATGGACGACGTCAGTGAAGTCACAACAGAGCAAGTCACTCGTAACTTGCTTCGTCTGCCTCGTCTCACAGGCGATGACTTGTTCCGTAAACTAACTTGTCTCGCCGCCAACAGCAACTTGACGGCCCCTTTGTCAACAGCCGTGTCTCTCGATATTGCCTGTACGTTCAATTCGAATTTGATGAACTGATATTCTTAAATGGAAGCTCAATTTAATTGATCTACTTTATAATTAATATATCAATACGACTCCGAAATTTGCATCGACATTTTTTTGCGTTGCGACTGACTTAATTTTTTATTAATTTTGATAATTTTTCACGACGTGAATGCAAGCTTTGTAGTACAAGAATTGTATGTATTTCATGATCTGTAATATTCGCTGCAGAGAGCTTACTTATTTTCATATTGCCACATAAGAAACTGTTTAAAATTACGACATGAAGTCCTAATATTGTATCTATTTTTATGATTGTGCAAATTACTGCTTCATTGACTGTTCTCGCATGCTCGCTTGACATTTGTTTTTATTCTTTTCATTTTCAGTTCCACCAAACTCGGTGCGTATCTCTTCCAGGACGGCCACCTCGGGCAGGTTGCCCGTAGGCGGTGGCCGCGGCCCAGAGGAGAGCGACATGGTGGTCAACGTTATCACGGTCAGGGCCAACAGAGAAGAGTATCTCACTTGTGAATCTACGGGCAGTCGGCCGCAAGCTGAGCTGGCATGGAGGAAGAACAGCCTTGCGGTCAAGGGGGTAACAGCAACACCACCGCCTTTCGAGGGCTCTAACTCCGGCAGACTCACAAGCGTGTCCACTCTTCAGATCTTCCCAGGCATTGAAGATCACATGGCAGTAGTTACTTGTAAAGCATTCAGCCCTAAACTACCAGCCGAATATATCGAAGACAGCGTCACCCTCAATGTCCTGTGTGAGTTTTACGGGAAACTGACCGGAATTATTTAGTTAGAAGCACGATGTGAAAATCTATATCTTTGAGACACCTTGAGTTGTTTGCGGCTTTTCTGTAAAGATCCATAAGGAGCTTTACTTATTAAAAAAAATTTAAACCTTCAGTAACACTTAATTTTGATATATTGACCAGTGTCTGCATATTTTGCATCAACAGGCATTCATTTCGTCGTCATGCTTATCAGCTAATGTTCTGATATTATAACACAACGGCTATGAGTGCCAGTAAGGAAGATTATAAGTATGTTAATGTTTTTTTTTCAACTTTATTGTTCAGACTCACCGCTTATAGAGCTACACTTCTCGTCAGCGGTAGAGCAAGCTAATTTAGAAGAAGGTGACGACTTCTCTTTCGAGTGTACCGTACAAGCCAACCCAGAGGCCGGCAAAATACAATGGGCCAGAGATGTGAGTCTTGATTATCGTCTTTCTAAGTGAAGTTTTGTCTCCTGAAATTTGATAAATGGCGCCTTGCTGATGGAAGTCCTCAGGAAAAAAATTGAAGAAAATAGTCCAGATGCGTCCTTACTTTTGTTCTCAGCCCGAATTAAGCCGTGGAATATTTGAAACGAGCTTCGCCTCGGGCGGCAGTGAGATAAATTGAAAGCTCGCGGTTTAATATTGCACGGTTTTCTGGCCGAGAAAAATTCTAGTATTCAATTACAAAGCATTGGAGTTTATTTCTTGAATATGAAACTGCATTCATCATACATGAGAAGGTTTTCCATCCTACCACGAGAGTGATCAAGGAAAGAACAATCATTTAAAATTATATCCGAGTTTTATTTTATTATTCCGAAGAACGAACGCTGAAGAAAACTAAGTGAATAATTATCAGCAATAGCTATGCGCTTTATTTAAGAACTTTGGCTAAATTTATTACGTACATGTACATTATTACTTTACATTATCACCAAGCACGTTAGTTATATTATTCGCGAAACCTATTCATAAATTAAATACTTTTAATTTATGAATATTGAGATCAATAATCTTACACTCAAGCAAGTTCAATCATAGCGACGGATTCGTACAGTGCAACCATGAGAGAATCATGCTCATGTTTGCAGGGGGTACCGATCATGGCGAACGACAGTGCGAGGGTTGAGATGGCTGGCAAAAGACTCATCATCATGAAAACAACTCGCTTCGACTCAGGCAGCTACACGTGCGCTGCCGCTAACACTGAAGGAGTTACCACCTCCAACGCTATAGCCATCAAAATTAAATGTGAGTACAGCTGCATTTTCTTTAATTGAAAAATTAAACTTTCAATGTAATTGTAAAGTATCTGGTCCGGTTTTTTTATACTCTTGTCATTTTAGAAAAAATTGAAATTGCATTATTCTATTACCAACTAGAACATCATTTATAAGCACCAGTATAGACCAGAAAAATATAGATTCATAATGCTTACTTTATTGTTAGGTTTCAAGTTATTTTTAAAAAAATTCTATGCTCAGAAGAAGTTTAAATTCTTCTACATTGAACTCACGGAGATGAAACCAACGAAATCAGTGACATTCATTTCTCTCGGGAATTGATGACAAGAGCAGGTTCCAAAAACTAAGGGACGTTTCCCCTGTTTGTGTTCCAGTCGTGCCAGTGTGCAGCAGTAATCGTATTCAAAAGCAACACGGGGCCGGAAAAAAGGAGCGGATTGATGTGACATGTTGGGTGGACAGTCATCCCGAGCCTTTAACATTCCGCTGGGCCTTCAACAGCAGTACTTCGGAGCTACGAGACATTTCTGCGACTGCTTTTTCGAACCACGGAATGTCCAGCACTCTCAACTACCTGCCGAACAATGAGCTCGATTTCGGTTCTTTGTTATGCTGGGCAGCAAACGATGTGGGGCTCATGAAGCAACCTTGCGTCATGCAAATTGTCCCGGCCGGTACGTAATAATCGTCATCGCCTCAAGAATGAACTCGTATAGGCCCAAATGAGCTGAAATTTTCTAGAAGTGTGTCGTTTTCTTGCTGATATAAAGCTCTCAGTGACATATTACTTCTCAAAATGTTTTGTAGGAGCATTTCCATCATTCCTTATTAAATTTTACCGCTCAATTAATTAAACTTTTACGTTTATTAAATACTAGTGGGTGTAACTTCTTGACTTTTAGGGTTGTGGACGGTAGCTCTAGTCTAGGCTTAAGTATGAACAGAAAAAAAATTAAATTTTCCATTTTCACCTCTAGTATTTTCATGTTATCCTCCATATTTCACTATTAATTGGGGAAATTATCTTCTTGTACAGCCAAACCAGAAAAAGCTCGCAACTGTGAAGTGTTCAACAACTCCTCGATGCCTCGAAGCGTAGCACTTGTCTCATGCCTGCCGGGCTGGGACGGCGGCCTCGCTCAAACATTTACGCTTGAAGTTAGAGAGTCGAGACACAAACATTCAAGAATACTGGCCTCAGTGCAACACTCACCAACTCCTGTTTTCAATATGAAAGGCCTGAAGCCCGACGAAGAATATTTGTTTATCATCACTGCTGTCAACTCAAGAGGTACCAGCCCACCAGTCACTCTGTCGTACAAAGTCCCTGTAGAAATGGTTCCCTCCTTGTCTTCCAACGCACAAAGAAGTGACGAGGCAGGCTGGTTGTCGTGGACACTCTTCATTGCTGTGGTCGCAGGAGTTTTTATCACGGTAGCGCTTTGCTTGGCTGCCGTCATCGGGCTTATGAGGGCCAAATGCTGTACCAAAAAGTCCTCCGCTAAAATTATCTACGCTGGTCCAATAAGGAGCAGCGATGAAGGCGACAAAACGAATTCCTTGTGCCCATCTACTATCGTGTACTGTGATAAACGTGAGTATAGACAAGTTTACTGCTTCATGGCATGTGTTCTGTATCTTCATCTATATATTAACCTTCTGAATAATGTCAATATCAATATTCGATGTTTTTGAAATGACCGTTAAATTTCTTGAAGTTACGGCCGTTGACTTCATTATTTATGTTGTGCTTGCGCCGACATTCTTTGAACATTTGGCGAAAATTATTTGATTTCCAATCATTAGGTTAATTTCGATCGCTTCATTCGCTCACTGAATTATATGATCATAGTTCCATTCCAATACAGTGTAAGATAAATCTTCATTGCATTATGCATAACCTATTTGGTTCGTGATGTGCTCCAGATGACTGTGAAATAGACGACTTGACGAAGAGCAGCTACCTTCGCTCGTCGAGCGAGAGCGGTGACTCGCTATGCAAGCATCACCTCGACCACATCAACCACAAAGACGAAAAATTCCGAAGCTCAGGCAGTGATATTAGAATAGATACTCCATGTAACTGGAATCCTGACTTGGGATCATCATGCGAAGATTCCTACTTCAGAAACTCTGGACCTTATCATATCAACAGCGTAAGTGTGATTGTCAATCAATTATAGGAATAACAGAAGCGTTACAGTTCATATATATCAGGGATAACATTATTCCAGACGCTCATTAGCTTCGCGTGTGGGCGCAAGCGTTTACGTTTTCTTTGCTGCTGCAATTGTGGTTAGTCTCGGGTTTCTTTAATCTGAAATGTGGGAAAATCTTCGCTGTGTCGTTCGAGAAGGGTATTTTTACAAAAAAAGTATTTTTACACTCGTTTTTTAGTTGTTTGATACCTTGAGCCTGTTTTGTTGACATTTTCGTTTTATTTCATTTTTTCTGTATTTATTTCAGCTAACCTCCTAGCCAAAAGTTTATTTCGGAATAGTATAATTTTAATTTCTCATTCAGTTGATTTTACTTTTGTTTTTTTTTCCTGGGCACATTTCAGTTGTCACCTCCCCCTCCACCTGACCACATGGTCACCATGGCCACGTCCTCCCCTATTCCTTCGTCCTGCCGCGCCCCCCTCGCCTCGAGCGACTCCTTGGGTCGCTACAGCTCTTCGTCATCGTCTCGGTTATCGTCGGTGTCCACGTCTGGCGTGTCGGCGGCTACGGTGGCCTTGCATCCCGACTACCGAGACCTCAGCGCCGACTGCCGTACTCCTCTCATGTCCGAGTCGGCCAAAGAGAGCGCAGTGTGACGGTGAAACACAAGTCTGGTCATTCAAAATATTGCTTTGTTACCTTCTCGTCTTGCATTGATATTTCTTTGGTATCTTCTCGTCTTGAATTGAAAGCTATTGGACTTGATTCAAATATTCATTGCGCAAGCCCAAATTGTTCAGACTGCAACAAAACTATCAATGTAAGATTAGTGAAATCAATCAAGAGCTGAATTATTAGAAAGTATTATAATTTTGATTCGCTATAGGTACGGCCAAATTAATGTTTAGGTTTAGCTGGGAAGTCTTCAACTTTGTTATTCTAAAGTTGTCTATGTTAATCGAGCGCGAGAACCTCGATGTTTACCTACGAGATACAGTAACAATTATTCTGTTTGCTACTTGTGTAGAGGGGGAGACCTCTCAACGATGCTACCGCAAGTGCAAAGAGTTCAGCGCTTTAATTTTACAAGCTAAGGTCGGGATAGGATAAAATTTGGGTGTTATCGCCGTCCATTTTGTGGCATAAGGCCACCAAAATGAATATTGGTTGTCCGAATAGATTGAATATTTTTAATTTTTTTAGCATGCTGCTTCTGGTCTTATAAAAGTCAGAGCGTTTTAATATTTTCTTCAATCTAGTTCACTTGCATTCATCTTTGTTGAGATCTGTTTATAATTTTAATTTTCCACAAACATTTACTCTCGCTTATTACCGACGTACTCGTGTTGCAGGCAACATTGGAATGGAAATTTCTTGTTATTAATGAAATATATATCCGGACAGTGCCTCTTGCTGGCGACAGAGCGCAGAACCTGTCAATTGGCATCAATTATTTCCCCGCTAATTTGAAAGCTTTTAAAAGTTCTCAATTGAGATTCCTCTGCCGGTCTAACGGCATGCAGTTCGATTGATTTGACTTATGACATTCTGATCGTGTTCAGACGCCTGTCTTCTTTTTAAAAATTATCAATAACCCTGTGGTGCTATGAAGTAATGAGGTACGTAAGCCTCCATGCCTTGTTATATATTTGTATATTTGGTCAGATTGAATATTTTTTACGTCTTAGATGATTAGTCTCATAAAGTTCGCGTTTAAGAAGCAGTAGCCCTAATTTGTTCGATCATAAATGCTGATTCATAAACCTGCTGATTCATGTTCAAATATCTCGGTAATATCTCCGTGCAATTGTTTGAGTCAGTTCAAGTGCAGCAACTTTTACTTACATTGGAATAAGGGAAATATTGAATTATGAAATTCATCTGTTCCTCATCACACAGCCCATATATGGATTGCCAACATGCTCGCAAAGGAAACGATGTTGTACTTGCTATTCCGATTAACAAAGCCCAAATTATCGTGCAATTCTTTTCTATTTTTGAATTTGAATTTGTGAACTCAAAAAATAAGTAATTCTCATCAATCATTCATGTTTTTCACTTCACATAAAAGAGTGGGAAAGGAATTACTAACGATGGGTTAATATACGACAAATAATTCTAAAACTTGAAAATAATTACTCGATGTACAACCACAGCAAGAGGCAACTAATGCTTCGCTATCAGGGGTGTACATGCATTCATTTTCACTTGTTCCAATACACTTTTTCTAATTTCAGGACTAGCAAATCTTGTGGCGGTTCATTTGGGGGTTTGAATAATTTGGTTTAAATAAAACGACTAAAAATGCCGCTATCATGCCTGACTGATATCGAATCGAGATTGCTAAAATAATTGCAGGAATATTTCAATATTTTGAAACGTACATAGTGACTAATGTTGCTAAGGGCTAATCGTGCATCCTATCGAAATAAAACAGTATTTTTCTGTCGTGCCATGTATGAACTCGCTGTGCGGTTCTAAATAAGTATATCACTCAAATTTTAGATCCGTAAACAACGTTTATTTTATAAACGTGTCTTATTTTAAGTGATCTCCGTGTATTTATTACTAATCTAGCATTTCAAGAGGAGTGCTCAATGTGATTGTACAGTATTCTTTCAGGTATAACGTGCAGTGATTTTGAAAGGAAATTGTTCGTACTTTGAAACCCCGATTTATCATTAATAAAAGTTCGAATTACTGCATTTTCATTTAATTCGCACGCGTTACAAAGAATGCTTTATGCGGCCTATAAATTTGTCTTATAATTTTTCTAAATTTTTCAGCATTTCATCGTTGTGTTTCCATGTACTTAAGTCATAGTTAATGGCTCCATTTTCTGCTGAAGTTCCCTACAGGGAAATGAGAAATTAATGTAATGCCAAGTGAGAGTAATCCGTCTCTCGTGGAGTGAAGAGGCCCCTGGAGGGCAGTAAGAACTTGCCATTACGCAGCCGTGTCCGCAAGCGAAAAATTCTTCGCCATTTCGAACTGGCCTTGTAGGAGATTTTCGCGCGCCGATGGCCGCCCTTCCTTCCATAGATGATGATTTCCACTCGGCTATTGCAGGGCTCAACGAGATAATATTCCAGACGAGTTTGACTGGACCAAGTCTGCGCTCTGGAAAAACTTCAATCTTGCATTCCTGTTTTTGTGCCGCGGCTGGTGGTGATGTAAAAACGGACCGCTAAATCCAAATTCGAACAGCCGAAAATTTCTGAAAAATATGAAACGTTTTTCAAAGAATCTGGCTCTTACTTCACTTCATGAAATCTCAACGCAGATAGTGGGAATGGATGCGTGAAAAGAGGAAATATTTCCATATTATGCTCGAAAATGAGCTCGTCAGGTAAAAATATATAAATGAAAATGTGAGTCTAAATCACCAGGAGGGAAATTTTCACAGGAAGGCATTGACTTCTTTGTAATAATTTTATTTATATTTGCAATAAAAAGCTTTTCAATATTATTTATTCACGATACAATGGGGGTGTGTAGTGTCTGTATAAATTCAAGCATGAAAACTTCAAAATAAACTACGTATTGCACGAGCTCGGATACAAGCATACGCCTGCTTGCCGCAGAGCTTCTGTCGTTTCGCTGAGTCGGCTTTTACAGCACGAGGCTGCAAGCATCATTTGTTTGGAGTCAGGTAAAGGCTAGCCTCATTAGTTTCTTTCGTTTATCTTTTCCGCGAGTAATGAAACGTTTGCGCTGTGGAATTGCTTGTCTCGTTAACAAGTCGTTATGCTCCCGAGCATCTTCTGCTGAAATAATGCATTTTATCTGCATAAAATGCAACGTAACTCACTGTTTGTCAGAAAAATGTATTTGTGATCAATGAAACTGTGTACTCAAACTAACTTCAATGATATATCAATATCCATCAGGAATAAAACATTTAATCGTTTAAATTAAACAATAAAAACACCCGAATAAATAATGACGACAAAGAGGGAAACCAAAACGCTTGTTACATGCAACTGCGATTGAATTTCGTTAGTGTCATAAAAAAGATGTATATAAAATCATCAATGCTCATTTGCAAAAGCTTTTAAGTTTCTCTTAATATAATTTTAATACCAAATAATGGTTTTGATCTCCACCATGCGTCACTCGGTGAAAGAACCTTGAGAGGCAAAGAACAGTTAACTCAATATCTAGCGACTGGAGCTAAATAATAATAATAACATCGATAGTCGAAGCTTCGTGTTGGCCGCATTAACATCTCTGCCTACATATTCCACACGCAAGCTCATCATGAACTTCTCTTGAATACCTAAACAAGATCACTCTCAGAAAATTATCTTGTTTCACTTATTTCAATCGAAATCTACATAATTAGATGTCGGTTCAGATGTTATTACTCGCTAGTTCTGCTGATGACCAGCACGATAGCCTGTTTTCAAATCGGCCGGGTGTTCGGGGTCCTTACTTATCCCTATTAGGAACAATAAAACAAAGCGGTGCATTATGGAGTAGCCCTCAGGGATATTTATGGCCCATTTTACATTGTCGACATTATATGAAGAATTTTTTAAGATGAAACAAGGGCTTCAAGGTTTTATGACAGTAATGGGGTTTGTCTACTCAGACCAATTACAATGCATCGTCGGCTCGATTACAGGCTACGTTGAAGCTGAACCTGCTCTTCTGGTCCCTTAATTTCATACCAGTTTTTATTACCAACTCATGAGACTCTGCTCGAATTATGATAGTTGGAGGAACGCTATGTAACATACTGCATCCAGCAGCCTCGTAATACCAATATGTCGTTATTTTACGCCTCGCTGGCTTACCTATCATTATTTTGGAATAACTCTTCATTGGTTACAGAGGTTTGGTGAGTTTCAGGCTCAAGAATTTGCTGTAATAGAATTTGTTTTTAATACAATGACGTTAAAATGTTGTTTTCTAACAAACTTTACTAAACCTATCGCCCTTCTCTCTACTTTGTTTATTTAGCACTTTTTATCAGTACGAGCGGGGTTTGCTATTCAAGGACATCAACATGACGAGATAAAATCAGTCAGTGGAGAATATAGTCGAGAAAAACTTCCGATTAAAAGTGAAGAACGTCAATGAAATTACAATGAAAACTGTTAGCTGCTAGCCTGCACGATCTGATAGCTGGCAGAGAGTGGCATAATTAGAGTGTGGATACAGAACACAGATAAACTGGCTTTAAATGGTGATTTATAAGGCTGCACAGTGAATCAAAAATAATTTCGATGTATTGCACGAGGACCCAATATTTTTTGACCTGTTAAATAAATTTGGAAATCATCAGTATTATGAAATTTTTTGTACACTTCAAAAAATTAGAGCTCTTAGCCCAATTTAAGGATTTTCAGCTGGAAATGAGCGTGATATGCAAACGAAAAAACTTGTGCGCGATTAAATGCAAGAAATTTAGATATAAAGTCAAACCTCTCGCAGCATAAGTATTTAACGTGGGTAATACCTTCATATTCAGATGAATTTAGCCTTTTTGTAAATAGAGAAGGGCACAAACATGTCATGGAAATATGGATGCAGAGAAAGTAACAAAATAAATGTATTATATCTCTAAGTGTAGGATGATGAATGCAAATAAAGTCAGAAAGAAAAATATAGTTTTGCAGAAAATATCGAGGCTTGTAGACATTCCAGTCTCTGCCGAAAAGAAACAAGAACTCTGTGCTCTAAAATAACTAATAATGAAGCGGCTTATATAATATTCATGGGCGAGGCAGAAGAACAAGCTAAATAATCCCCTCTTGTAATTACGACGCATAATTAGCAAAAAAATATAGTCTTCCGTGCAATAATAGGCCCTGTTTGGTTCTCAAGAAATGAGAAGTTGCTAAACCTGTCCCACAATTTTTCACAGGAGAAAATAAATGCAAAGACTGCATTAGGCACCATTTAAGCGACTGAAAACTGGTGTGAAATTCTAGTAAAGATGTTCAAGAAGTTTGTAAAATATTTAAAAATTGTGGGTCAATAATTTTAGCATTAATGTGCTCGCTTAACTCGTCGAGTCTAGTAAATCTGGTACCCGGGGTATCAACGAAAAATTCTCCTGTATTGAACCGATTTCCAGGCCTTTTTGACCCATTCAGTTTTGACTGCAGTACTTTCTGATGCTCTTTTATGTATAACCTGTTTACTTAATTACACGGGAATAAACGAAATAATTTTACTCGAAAAAGCATGATAGACTGACACTTCTGCGTGGCACATTTTTCATCTTACCACCTGACACTGAAGGAAAAATATTTATTTAAAATGATTCGTTCAAGTACTCTAATCTCTACAAGAAAGAAAAAGTCATATAACGACACATGCAACATAAAATACAACCACAGCAAGGGAGCTTTCTTTGACTTCAGTATCGCTCTCCCGTGCATTAAATATATTGAAGGTAAGAAAATATATGAAATTCCTTAATTTAAATTACCTTATTTTTTATCTCTCAAATGAGACGATTTTCAATTACACCGTCGATTTAGGTAGGAAGCAATCAGAGGCAGACGATAGTATGGAGCAGCAATAATTAAAAGGCTAGGGTTAGCAGAAGCTCCCTCTGGCTGACGAGAAGCTCTAGCATAGCCCTACAGTCAATTATTGGGGACTGCCACCGTGAAATATGCCTTCAGGTCACAGAAGAAAGGCTTTCTCATTGCCATAGACCAACCCATCCACATTTAATTTTTTTTAGAATAAAGTGTAGCACTACCGTTCATACCTACAGACTTATGAGCTCAACACGAGCGATACGCCAATTGTTGCCTAAATTGGAGCCGCGTGTTATGAAGCCATGAAAAACTCGTTCATCTTCAGAAGAAGGTTCCTGTCTTGCAGTGTTCTCAGAGCAGACAGGACCTGTCATTCGGTATGACAGTCTCTACCCATGAACAGATCTCATTTCTCATGTCGTATGAGAAATCGTTTTTTTTTGTCGCAGGCTCATCTAATTCAGCTTTCAAAAAACATCATCAAGTAACTATTATTTCTATGCCTTTTTAGCAATATCCCCGAACCTATTTTCAAACACAAATATATAATTATTATTAGTTATTAAGAAATTTTAGACGATTAAATAATTTTAGTACTTTAATTTACTTTACTGTCTCGACGAACGATGTAATGAAGCTCTTGTGCAAATTTGAAGAAAAAGAGCCAACAATCTTTTATGAAGTGCCATGCAATATCAAGTAGTGATTTAAGATCATAGTTCTGAAGACTTGTGTTTTGCTTATGAAGCTGAGGTTCTGTGGAGTAAGCGAGCCTATGCATCACATGATTTTTGAACGGCCGCCACTTAGGCAGAATGTGCCAACATCTCGACTGCTCCAGACGAGCTTATAACGAGAAGGGAAACAATTTATCTCTGTTTAATTGAGTTGATCAGCAGCCAGAATGAAGGGACAGGGCCACACCAGAGACGTAATTACATCGGCACCTCACGCGTCTTTCTTGCCTCACAAAGACCATCGAGATAAGGACGACTTGAGAGGCACAGAAAGAACGGAGATTGCGTAACGTGCCTTGAGACACAGGCCAGATGCTTCTCCTATAGAGCCATTTCTTGCAAGCGCTTCGTGCACTAATTGAAAACTTATGTCTCTAATTCTGTATTTAATGAATTGAATGATTGAAGAAATTATGCCGAGAAATTAATTCTCCATGGCCATTAGATGCATTTATGTCATGATAAA